ATGTTATAATAAAAATGAATACCCTTAACTTTTGTTGATTTTCGACTTTTCATACTTGTGTTATTAATTTTTTTCCTCGTATTTTAATCTTTACCTTATTTTAATTAGTATATCTTATTCCTAATGATGATCAAAAAATATGTTAGGATTCAGTAAAACATTTTTACTTTCTAATATGCAAGACAAACAAAAGCTACATAAGTGTTCCACAAAATATTTTTCACTCGTTTACATGATATTTGGATAAAAATAATTATCAAATACATGATGTATTAATTAATTGAAAGTTAAAGATTAAAAAAAAGTAAAGAAAAAAGTTGAAAATTTAAGAGTAAAATTGAGCACAATTTGAGAACTCTAATTACAACTAAGGATCTGTTTGATTGCAAGAATGAAATTTGGGTGGAAATAAAAACTAATTTCAGATCATTGAATTGCCTAGAAATTGTTTTTCTGGGAATTGTCAATTAATGTGTTTGATTGATATAATTTTCACCTAAAAATTGTTGAAATTTTGTATTTTTTTGGTGTTCATTTAACTTTATTTTTCATGGATATTGTCAATTAAAGGGAAAAATTTGTTACAATTGGGAATAGAATTTGTTTTAATTATCAAGGAAAAAAATCTAGCTGGTAAGCCAATTCCCATGGGTTTGGTGGGAATTGGTTTTCCACAAAACCAAGAAAATTGCACGCATAGAGGGAAGAAGGAACACAAATTGCCATAAAAAATTATTGTCATCAAACATGCCAAAAGTTGGAAAACGAAAAATGTTTTTCATGAAAAACAGGCCAAATCAAGCAAGCCCTAAAATTTGTTTGCAGTTAATAAAAACCGTGGTGTGAATATAATTACCCTTAGCACTATTCGACAATTACGTCCAAAACTTTTGGGGAGGGCATTAAAATGACATAGTTGTCCTCAAATAAACAAAAGAAATAACTTGTAAGGAAGGAAAAAAAGAATGGAGACTAGGGCTGTAAGCAAAAACCACAAAACCAGAAAATCGAACCGAAACCGCATTTTAGAAACCGTCGGTTTGGTGCCACGTGGACCCGGTCAACGAAATGGTTTTGACCCAAACCAAACCGGTCAAAATGGTTTGGTTTAGGTTTGAGAATTTTAATTACGGTTTAAAACCAAACCGGACCGGTAAAAAAATATATAAAAATAAAAAAAATGAAAATTTTTGAAAATTCATCCAAATATGTAAAATTCAATAGTTTTGTCATTTATGGATATTTTTGTCAATTCCTAATTTTCTAATACAGATATATTATTATTATTATTATTATTATTATCATCATCATCATCATCATCATCATCCAATAATCTTAATATATATTTAATAATTTTAAGACTAACATAATCTATCAAAAACC